GGGTTCTGGAGCTATTCTCTATTCATTAAACAGGTGACTTGACTGATGCCAAAACAAAGGATGGATTTGGGTCTAATCAGGTTGAGGTGGAGTGGCAAACTTACCAGACAATTCTAAAAAGATCTAAGGTCATGGAAAAGACAAAATGGATAGATATAAAAGGAAATCATGGTAAGACAGAGAGAAGACTTTAGGCACGCAATTCTAATTTTATGTTGATCATTAGGAAATGCTAGACTGTCATACCCCCTCATTTAACCTTGTTTAATTTTTTGATATTATATAAATTATTTAAATCATTTATATACCATAACATTTTAAAAGTGTCTGGAATCATTATGAAAAGTATAAATATATATTTAAAGTAAGAGAATATTGTTTATATATTTAGCTTTTCTTGTAATTTTATTTTGACCATTCTGTTGTAAATTTCCTTAAATAATATAATTTTAGCTTCGCCAAAAAGCCTCTTAGCGTTTGGTTTATGCAAAAAATCTTGTTTTCCTCCCTAGCCATCCTTCTTCTCTTTTAAGTTCATAACTGCAATGATGTTTTTTTAAACTTAGACTACTTTTTTATTCCTAGCTTTATCGTGAAATTGGATCGAAATGTTTACCATTTTCATTGCAGATACATTCAACATTCCTAGCCTGGAGAGTGTTCATAATTACTACAGGTATGTTAGCATGTAATGATGGTTTCAGCAGTCCAGAAAAATATACAGTGAACAGAAATTTCTATTTAAACAAGATACATGTACCGAAAAGTTGACTCTATACACATTTTATCAATTAAGTATTTTAAGATCAGTTATATTCAATTGTGTTATATTCATAATTGTGTCCAATTATGAAAGACTGCCTGGACAAGTCCCTGGACAAGTGGTTTGCCATTGCGTGCTTCCTAAGGGCTGAGAGTGATTAGCCCAAGATCACCCAGCTGGCTTTGTGTCCAGGACAGGACTAGAATACAAGTGTTCTAGTTTCTAGCCTAATGCCTTAACCATATACTAATCTGGCTCTCCAATTATAGGTAACCAAGATTCTTTTCTCCTTTCTGTACTATTTGGTAGCTGCATTTTTTCCCTTAACTTTCTGAAGGAAGGAGCGAGGAAATTCAAGTTTTGAAATTTAAGTCATATTATTATTATTATTATTATATTATCTTTTATTCATTAAACATGAACCTCAGTCAATTGAACATTCAAATTGGCTGGCACTGATGGTTGACACAGGTTGCTATCAGCATCCGAGGTGTCAACCAGGTATCTCCTTAAAATATAAGATGTTCCGAGTAGCGCAGTTTTTTGTAACATTGCTGGAGTTATTGCAGAAAGCTGCAGTTTCTTGATGTATTTTACAAAGTTTTTGGACATAGTTCCCAGTGCCCCGATGACAATGGATACCACTGTTACACGTTTCATCCATAATCGCGCAGTTTCGATGGCCAGGTCACGATATTTTGAATTTTTTTCCAGTTCTTTTTCTTCGACTCTGGCATCTCCTGGTACAGCGACATCAATCAGCTATACACTTCGGTTCTCCAACTGTGATATCCAGCATATTATGTTCCAAATGGTGATCTGTCTGTATTCGAAAGTTGTTGTTGTTGTTGTTGTTATTATTATTACTACTACTACTACTACTATTACTATTACTACTATTATTACTATTATTATTATTTGGCTAACTAAGAATGGTGGTGAACTGAGCCCAAATGCATCTCTGTTAACATATCTGTTATCCTTACAAGCTTCTCATGTAACATATTTCTCCTGATTAGATTTTTCTTAAAGTCCTTTTCTTTGGCAGGAAATATTCTGTGTGGCAGAAAGATGGCTCCTTTCATTACGTTCATAGAACACCTTTTGGAAAATATTCTTTCACCTGTGTGGATGCAAGTCTTGATCCAGGTCCCAAGATACCCTACAATTTCTTTGGGATATTAAATGCGGTAATGTTAGAAAAAACAATGTTTTATCAAATCAAAAGATCAGAAAAAATTGAGGCCAGTTGTGTGTCTTACATATGTTAACAATAACGTCTGAATGAAGTGTTCCAAGTACAGGTAGTCCTCTGCTTACAATAATTCGTTTAGTGATGTTCGAAGTAATAACAGTGAAAAAATGGACTTATGACAGTTTTTCACCCGATCGTTATAGCACTCCCATGGTCACGTGATCAAAATTCAGATGCTTGGCAACTGGTTCATATTTATGACATTGCAGTGTCCCAGGGTCATGTGATCATCTATCGCGACCTTCTGACAAGCAAAATGAATGGGAAAGCCAGATTCACTTAACAAACAACTATGATACTAACTGAACAACTGCAGTGATTCAATTAATAATTGGCAAGAAAGGTCATAAAATGGGGCAAAACTCACTTGACAACTGTCTCGCTTAGCAACAGAAATTTTGGGCTCAATTATGGTCGTAAGTCAAGGACTACTTGTATTCACATATTTTTGTCAGTATTCCTACTTTCAGTCTTTGACATATGCAATATTTTATCAATGAGGTTGGTATGCCTCACATCTCTGAAGAGTGAGCATTTTCAAAGAGATAGTGAATTTAGTTTCCTGTGGCGTGAGTTTCATTTGCAGTGACCAAATCTTTTCATGAGATTTAGTTTCCTATGGGACAAAGAATCAATGGAGATTTAAGTAGTTTTGAAATAATATATGTCTCTAGCAAAACACCCATTCCTTATTATGGTTTCTTTGCACATAGACCTCCATTGCATTCCTTAGCTGCAAAGGGGAAAAAAATGCCCCTCTATCCCTACTTTGGGTCACAGAGCAATCTTCAGGGATAGATAGGTTTTATAGGAAGGCCATCATCTAATTATCCTAAATTATTAGTCAAACTCAAGATTCTACTAAGTATTTCCTTAAGGGAATCTGTCAGTGATAATCATAAAAAGAGTGTTAAGACAATCTGTTGAGATTGTTTTTCTTAAATATTCTACTGTTCTCTCATGATCATGTTGTTGTCAATGTGATATAGAAGATTCTTTGGCAGCATTAGAAAGATCAGACCCAGTCCAGAACTATGTCTATATTCTAACATACACATATAGCTTCTGTGAAACAGCACGGTTGTATGAACACCTTGCCTTTATAGGTAGTTCTCAATTTACCACAATTAATTTAGTGATTGTTCAAAGTTGCAGTGGCACTGAAAAAAGTGACTTATTTTTTTTCCAAAGAAATTTTATTATTTTCCATCAAAAAAAAAAACAATCATAACATAAGTAAACACAATAACAAATAAAAGCCCCCCACCACCCCCCCCGGACTTCCCAAACCTAATCCCAGGATAATATTCATCTAAAAGTAAACAAATACTAATATCTCTAACTCCACAAAATATCTTGATCTACATGAAAAGATAAAAAGAGTAAGAAAATCTAAAAACCTAAATTATATTCTACCACTCTATGCTTCTTTTGAATATAAACAATCCATCTTCTCCATATTGATAAAAATTGTTCATTCGAATGATTCTTCAAATAAGCCGAAATCTTTGC